CTGTTGGGGCGGCCTTCACTCATATGTTGGTCTCTGTGGATCCTGCCCCTCCCAGGTTTTACCAAGGATCCCTTTCCACTTTCCTTGCGGCTGCCCCCCCTGCAGGTAGAACACCAGGCGATTCTTCCAATGAGGCCCCTGATGTGTGTGTGTGTGTGGGGGGGAGGGAGCTTATGGGAGGGGCAGCTGCCCTTCCTGAGCTGTTTTGGCCAGGCCCAGGGTGAGCGGATTTCACCTGTTGAGTGTGGGACTTCCCCAGCTGCTCTGAGCTGTTTCTCCTCTTGGGGGGGGGGTCCTGGCTGGGCACCCCTTCTGACTCCTCCTGCTCCTTTTCCTTGCAGGTGGCCCACCCGCTGGTCCAGAAGCAGCTGGTGGACTACATCCACAATGGGTTCCTGGTGCCGGTTATGGGCCCGGCTTTGCACAAGGTGAGGGTGGGCCTTCTCACCCTTTCAAAAGGGGGCCGATGCTCCCTGGGTAAACTGCCTTGCCCGGGCTTTGATTTCTGGCAGCGGGGGGTGGGGGAGGCTGCCTTTGGCCAGGCACCTGCTGCTTTGTCCGTGGGTGTGATGAGACACCCAGAGCTCCTGCCAAAGACGAACCATCGCAGAGTGGTGGTGGTGGTGCCAGCGCCCGAGGGGAGATGGGCGTCTCCCCCCCCCCCGGTCAGCCGCGTCCTCCAGCTGCAGGCTCCAGGGGCAGGGGGCCGATGGGGGCGGGGGGCAGCCTTTGCTGAGGTCCCTCTGTCTGCAGACGTCCATCGAAGAGATGATCGCCAGCACGGCCTACCTGGACCTCTTCCTGCGCAGCGTCAGTGAGACTGCCCTGCTGAAGACCTTCCTGCGTTTCCTGCTGCTCCATCACCACGACAACAGCACCATCCTCGACACGCTGGTGGCACGGATCGCCAGCAACTCCCGGGTGAGGCGGCCAGCCTGGCCTGGGCATTGGGGGGGGGGGAGAGCACAGGCCGGGAGGAAGATGTGAAGGCTGAAAACAGTCGTTCTGCACCCCCAAATCCGTCTCCAGAAGAGAGACCCCCTTCAGCTCCCCCCTCCCCAAGGAGCAGCAGCTCAGCTTGCCATGACTGCTTCGTAGCTCAGGGTTGCAGGAAAGCCCACCCTGAAGGGAGGGGCTCTGGGCCTTCGCCTAGTTCAGTGGGGGGAGGTTCAGGGTGGGCTTCTTTCTCTAATCCTCCCCTTCTCCTTGTTCCCCCAGCTCTGCATGGTCTCCCTCAGCCTCTTCCGGACTCTGATCAGCCTCCACTGCGAGGACGTCCTGCTGCAGCTGGTGCTGAGGTACGGGGGGCTCCTTGCAGGGGGGAGTCCTCTCCGGGGGTCCCTGGCGGAGGGCTTGCTCTGCCCTTGTGGGGAAGGGGAAGCCAAGGTCCCCCCAGCAGTGCTGAAGCCAGAAGAGAAAGGTCTGCCCGGCCTCTCTTTGGAGGAGTGGCAGAAAAATGACTCCTTTAGAACAGCTGCCCTGCACCCCTTCCCCTGCTTGGCGTCTTGGATGGGGAGCGCCCCCTGGTGGGCCTCCAGCACATTGCAGGTTTAGTTCATCTGCTTGGCGTCTTTGGATGGGGAGCACCCCCTGGTGGGCCTCCGGCACACTGCAGGTTTAGTTCATCTGCTTGGCGTCTTGGATGGGGAGCGCCCCCTGGTGGGCCTCCAGCACAGTGCAGGTTTAGTTCATCTGCTTGGCGTCTTGGATGGGGAGCGCCCCCTGGTGGGCCTCCAGCACAGTGCAGGTTTAGTTCATCTGCTTGGCGTCTTTGGATGGGGAGCACCCCCTGGTGGGCCTCCAGCACACTGCAGGTTTAGTTCATCTGCTTGGCGTCTTGGATGGGGAGCGCCCCCTGGTGGGCCTCCAGCACAGTGCAGGTTTAGTTCATCTGCTTGGCGTCTTGGATGGGGAGCGCCCCCTGGTGGACGTCCAGCACAATGCAGGTTTAGTTCATCTGCTTGGCGTCTTGGATGGGGAGCGCCCCCTGGTGGGCCTCCAGCACAGTGCAGGTTTAGTTCATCTGCTTGGCGTCTTGGATGGGGAGCGCCCCCTGGTGGGCCTCCAGCACACTACAGGTTTAGTTCATCTGCTTGGCGTCTTGGATGGGGAGCGCCCCCTGGTGGGCCTCCACAACAATGCAGGTGGTGCCACAGCTCTTTGCTCATGAGCTGCTGTTTCCCCCTCATAGGTACCTGATCCCCTGCAGCCACGTCATGCTGAGCCAGAAAAGGGCGGTCAAGGAGCTGGACCTGTATGGCAAGGCCGCTGCCAAGTTCCTCTCGCTGATCCCTCGCTGCTGCTGCCCGGAGAGCCTGCCCGCCCCGGAACAGGAGGAGGAACGCACAGCCTGGTCCAAGGGTGAGGCTAGGGGGGAGAGCCTAGCCAACAGGGCTCCCTCCTGTACATACAGAGCCCCTCCTGCTGAGGACGGGGCTTTGTCCAGAGTGGCTTTGTGACCTTGGTTGACCCTCCATCATCGTCCCCAGGCCACGGCAGCCCCAGCGTGGACTCTTCTTCCGTGGTGACCGTCCCCAAGCCCTCCACGCCGTCTCGCATCTCCTTCTTCACCCGCCAGTCCAGCTTCGGCATGGAGGCCCCCAGCCCCACGCCCCGCTCTCCAGGGACACCCACGGGCAGCCCTGGCCACCGTCCCGGCAGGTGGGAGGAGGTCTCGGAGCTGGAAGGCAACTACCTGGAATACCTGCGGGATGCACGGCTCAACATTGACCACTGCGTTCGTGCCTGTCGCGTCTGGTCAGCCCCCTACGATGGGGAGGAGCCCCATGCGGGCAGCTTAGGTCCGCCTCCAGATGCCTCCTCGACAGCCAACGCGTCCATCCATCCCAGGGGGCCCCCGCCAGACCCTGCACCTGCCTCCCCCCGGACTAAAAAGCGGGGAGCGAGCCTAGAAGGGGGCCTTGCTGGTCTGCCACCCGGCAGTGCCCCACCTGCGGACACCAAAGACAAGCACCCTCTGCTTAACGGGGCCCACCTGGACGCTGGCATCAAGAAGGGCCGCTGGTGCCCACCCGAGGGCCTCTTGGAGAACGGGTCGGTCCTGTCCCCCGGCCCTTGGGAGGGCGCCTGCTGCCTGGACTTGCCTGTGGATGAGGGGCTGAGCCGGGTCCCCCTGGAGAACGGGGGGCCGCTGACGGTTGAGGAGTTCCATCGGGAACTGTGTCAGCTACAGGACGAGATGGCCAATGGGGGCCGAGCCGGGGAAGACCCTGGGTCAGACCCGCCACCCGAGCCTGAACCGCTTTCCCGGGAGGAAGAGGAAGCCTACCACCACTTCTCCGAGGGCTCGGCCCCCGCCCTGCCTGCTGACCCCCTGTCCCAGATCATCAGCATCCCCCCCCGGTCCTCGGGGCAGCCTCCCAGCCAGCCTTTCACCGGTGAGTTTCTTTCTCCAGGGCCCCCGGGCGGGGGTTTTCCCTCCCGTCTGGTGCTGCTGCCCGGCCTGTCCATCACGCTGGCCTCCCAGGGAAGGTTCTTGCAGACCTTGGTGCTGTTTGTTTCCTAAACGGCCCTTTTAAGGGAAGCCGCTGCCTGGTCAGTTGGTCAGGAGTCTCCTGGGTTGCGATCAAGGAACCGGTTCACGATGGCTCTGAACCATTACGGGAGGGCGAAGGGAAGGGGCAGGGCCCTTCCCATCTCAGGCTGCCTCTCGGGTCCAGTGTGGGTCACCCAAGAGCAGGATTGCCCCCCCTCCTGCCCCTGAGCCCCCCTGTCTAGCAGCCCAGGGTCTGGGCAGGGCCCCCGTCTCGCTCCACCCGCCCGACGGCCACCTGTGTCCGCAGGCCCCTTCCTGGGCATCCTGCTGGCCAAGCTGGAGAACATGCTGCAGAATTCCCTCTACGTCAACTTCCTGCTGACGGGGCTGCTGGCCCAGCTCGCCTGCTACCCACAGCCCCTCCTGCGCTCCTTCCTGCTCAACACCAACATGGTCTTCCAGCCCAGCGTCAAGTCCCTCCTCCAGGTAGCCCTGCGGCCAAGGGAGGGGGAGGGGCGCCCCAGGCTCTCCCTGCAGACGGTGGCTGAGGGCCTGGCTTCTTCTCCCCGGCAGGTCCTGGGCTCCGTGAAGAACAAGATCGAGGGCTTTGCGGCCAGCCAGGAGGACTTCCCCTCGCTCCTCTTCAAGGCCAGGAAGTACCTGATTGCCCGGGCCAGGCCGGACGGGCCCGACACCACCAACCCCTTGCCTCCCCTGCGCCGTCCTGAGGCCCTCGGTGAGTGAGGCGGGGCTCTTGGCGAGGGGGAGAAAGGGCGCCTGGGGGTCGCCTTTTGGGGGTGGCTGGCGGGTGGGGGAGGAGCTCTCCTGGGGTGCCTTGCTTGCCGGGAGGGCTGCCAGGGCCAGGCGCTCAGTGGCCCTGGCAGGGCTCGGCCTTCGCCCGCTGGCTATGAGGCTGACGGTCTTGACCCGTGCCCACTCTCCCGCCAGTGAAGAGCCGGAAGCCCACCATCGGGGAGCTGATCATGCGCCACACCAACAGCCCCACACGGGCCCGCCAGGCCGCCCAGCTGGCCCTGCAGCACATGCGCGAGGGCCAGGTGCTGCAGGCGCTCTCGGGCGGCTCCCTCTTCCGCAGCTCTGCCGAGAAGCAGAGCGAAGCACTGCGGGTGAAGAACGCCATCTACTGCGCGGTCGTCTTCAGCGAATTTCTCAAGGAGCTGGCGGCCATCGCCCAGGCCCACGCCGTCACCTCGCCCTTCCTGCTGGAGCCCCCCCTGGAGTGACGCCCCGCCATCTTTCCTCCCTTGGCTCCGCGGCCTGCCAGGCCCACCGGTTGGGGTGGGGCCCTCACAGGGAGCCCCCCCCTTTTAAAACTCCATACCAGGACATGGACCTTTTTAATTTATTGGGAATGAATGTTTTTTTTCTGGAAAATTTGTTTGTTGCAATATATATATATATATATATATATATATATATATATATATACATACATACATACACATATATAAGAAGCTGCCTCTGCCTGCCCTCCGCGGTGTGTCTGTGTCTTGGATGGGGCTGCCCCCTCGCCCACCCGTATGGGGGTCCTTGGGCAAGATGGTCTCCACGCCCAGCACTCTCTCAGCCCTTCTCCCTCTCTCTAGCCCTGTGCCTCTGGGAGGGGCAACTTACGCCAAAGCAGGGACCCTCTTGCTCTTTTCTTTTCCTATTGGGGGGGCACCTCCAGCTCCCCAACAGGGCTTTGCCCAGCTGTGCTGTGTAAGGCCCCCCCCCGGTGCCAGGTTGCCAAGGATCCGAGACGGGACCCATCACAGGGCTGATCCTGTCCTCCGGGGTCTCAGCTGGAGGGACTCTGCTGCCCCCCCTGTCTGGAGAACAGCCCCCCCAGCCAGGCCAGAGTCTGGGCGTTGCTGCATGCGAAACAAGGCAATTTATTGCTGGGGGGGGCTGCTGCTGTCCACGTCACTCTTCCGTGTCGCTCTCGGTGGCTGCGATGCTCTGCAGGAGGGGCAGGGACATGCAGTGCCTCTCGGGGTCAGCCAGGCTGCTGCAGAAGAGCCCCAGCTTGGGCCGTCGCTGTCTGAAGGGCCACTTCCCTGTGGAGATGCAGAACAAGGGGGGGGGGGTGTCCTGGCAGGAGTCCCCCAGGGAAAGACCCCCCCCCCCCGGAGTTTCCCCTCTCCTGAGAATCCCAAATCTTCCTCCTCCCCCTCCAATCTGAGTCGGCTTATTCTCCCAAGCTTCCTCCTCCTCATTCCTGCTCTTTGTACTCCCCTCTGCAAAGCCCACGCTCCCTTCTGGCACTGATAATGTACCCTAGTTGGGTCATGAAACGTCTGCAAGAAAACAAACGATCAAAGATCACCTAGGACCCCACAGTCGTCCTCCTCCTCCCCCCCTTCCTCCTAAACATGCAGGAAGGGAGTGAGCAGGTGGGCCTTGCTCTCTGGCCGTGCTAGAAGAGGCCCTTTGGGCTCCAGGGAGGAGCTGGGTGGCCCTTCGCCCCGGCAGCCCGGGGGAGGAGAGCCTGCCGTGCCAGCTGGTTGAAGCCCTCCTAAGATCTAGGGCAAAACAGACCCTCCTGGGCTTAGTCTTCTGGGGAGGGCGGGAAGCCCAGTGACTCCATCCTTGCTTTGGGGGAGGTGGGGGGCAGCGTCTCCCCGTTTCCTCACCTGTCACTGTCCGCAGGGGCCTGCCCAGAGCCCTCCACCGCTTGCGCAGGGCCAAGCCCTCTCTGGGCAGGGGGCCTTCCAGAGCCTTGGCTGGGGGAGAGGCCTCCAGCACGGCCATCCTCACCCAGGCCGCCCTGGCAGGCAGGTTGTGGCCCATGGGCTTTTGGGAGCCCAGCACGCCTTTGTGGCTGAGGGCGAACTTGAGGCAGGAGAAGGCCACCGGGAGGGGCTGCTCCCGGATGAAGTGACGGTGCTCGGCCTCCTGGGTGACGGCCAGCGAGAGGCTGCTGGCGTAGAAGACCTCGTGCACCACATAGAGGCTGTTCTGGGAGTGCAGCCACGGCAGGTCCGGGCGCAGGGCCACCGTCCCGGGACGCAGCACCAAGAAGGCCACCTTCTTATGGACGCCAGCCAGGCACAGGCGGATGTGACGCAGGGCCCCATCCACCAGTCGCGTCTCCTCATAGCGGGACTCGCCCCTCACCCGGGCACTGTACTCGCGGGTGCAGTGGGTCAGCTCCTTTGGGGCTGGGCCCCCGGGCAGCAGGCTCTCCAGGGGCCCGATGGGCACCAGGCAGCACTGCCTGCGCAGGAGGTTCTGCCCCAGCTGCGGCTTCTTGATCAGCACCGTCAGGAGGTCGTAGGAGGCGGCGTCTTCCAGGAAGGGGACTGGCACCACAGTGGGCCCGAAGCGCTCCTCAATGACCTGTGGGGAGACAGAAGGGGAGGGTGTTCAGCGAGCGCAGCCTTCCCTGCCTTTGGGCAGCAGGAGTGTTGCTCCATCTCTTCTGCAGGCACGCTCAAAGAGAGGGGCGAGCAAGGAAGGACGGGCCCAGGGCCAGATGGGGAGGGAGGGAGGGAGGGGGCCACAAAGGGTAGGGGGTGTGACGGGCAGGGGAAAGACGCCGCTGCTCGGTCCATGTCAAGAGGAGAAGCAACCCCTGGAGCCCGAACCTTCTGTGGGAGCCAGTGGACCCCCCCCCTTTGCTGGAGGGGATTCAACAGGACGCAGGAGGCTGGGATTCTGCTTTTTCCTCTCCAGCTTGCTGGAAAACGAGAGGGCCGGCCTGTCCTTGGAGGAATTTTTGAACCTTTTGGACTGGTCCCAGTGAGTTTTCCAACTGAGGTTTGGGCTGTTGAGTTCTCCCAAGATTGCCTTTCTCTGCGATCTGCTCCTCCCGCGATGGCATCTTCCACCTCTTCTCAGCCACTTGCATCCTTATCCCAATGCTCTTGCCTGGACCCGTGTGCTCAGAGGCCAACATACGTGCTGGCGTTTTTGTGCCCTCGTGCAGAGGGTTTGGCCTCCCTGGGACACGCAGATGGTCTGTTCCCGTCCTGCAGTTACATGCCTGTCTCTGGGCGCCTCCATCCCCATCCCGCCCCTCAAAACGCAGGCCTGGCCTTTGGTCTCCTGCTCTTCTCCAGGCTCTCGGCTCCCACCGTTACAGGATTCAGCTTAAAGCCTTGCTGGCTCCCACCAGGCGGGACCCTCCCTTGCCAGGTGCTGCCCTTCCCTCCTCCTCCCCCCCCCAATCTCACCTGATAGACCAGCTTTTCTCAACCTTGAAGATGTGTGGACTTCAACTCCCAGAATTCTATAGCCAGCAGGAATTCTGGGAGTTGAAGTCTCCTCTGCTTCAATTGACTGAGCTTAACAAACACCTTCGTAGGCTGTCTGCGTGATGGGCTGTCGGGAGGAGCCTCAAGTCCTCCCCTCCCCAGCCCTTCTCATCCCTGCCTGCTTAGTGCCTGGCCGTCGGCTGTGGGGGGAACCGGGCATCCCTTCCAGGCTCCAGGGTGGGAGTGCTCTTCTGCTGGGTCTCCTCCCTCCCCCCCTCTCCGTGCCCTGCTCCCTGCTGCCTTCTCTCCTGGGAGGCTCCTTGGGGCCCCTCCCTGGGCAAGTCCTCCCCCCTGTGCACAAGTCCACCATTCCCACCTCCCTTGAGCCAAACCAGGTATTAGTTTGGCCTGGAGAAATGGTCTTTCTGCAGGATCCATTCTGGGTCGGTCACTGGGACTGGAGGTGCTGCCTTCGGAGCTTTTGGACTCGTGCTAGACCCCCCCCCTCCATCTCTAGCAGAGTGTGTGCTTTGGGCTGTTCTCTGTGTGATATTTATATGGTACCTGTTGTGTGTGGCTTTTTAGATGTTGATTAAAAAGCCACACGCAACAGGCACCATATAAATATCACACAGAGAAGAGCCCAAAGCACACACTCTGCTAGAGAGAAGTTCCCTGGTGGGGGTGGGGGGTGGGGATCCAGCATGAGTCCAAAAGCTCAGAAGGAGAAACCTCCGGTTCTGGTGACCAATCCAGATACGATCCTTCAAAGTGATCCTGGGACACGTAGATTCGCCTACATTCGTGAATGATCTTTCTCTTCATCTGTGGCTGCCATCGTTCTAGACTGCAAGTGCTTTCTCTCCCCTGCGCCCCCCCCCTCCTGAATTGATGGCTTTCGGAGAGATGCATTCAGGCCACGCATTGGCTCACTCGTGGCCAAATGGACCCAGGTGTCCAGGGCTGTCTCCTGCCAAAGACGCCCCCCCAGTCCCCTGAAGCTGATGAACCCCTCCCCATACAGGCCAAGGGGGAGCAGGGGTCCTGCACTGCCCCTGACCAGGCTGGCCCCTTAGTCTGCTGGGGCACTGCCCAGTGCCAGCTCTGCTCTCTCACCTTGTCCCGGATCAGTTCCCAGTTGGCGTCTGCCTCGCTGATCTTGAGACTCTGGGTCCCTCCGCTGTCCATCTTGCCTGCTGTGGGGCTGCCCCGTAAGGCATCCGGGGTGTGTGTGTGGGGTGGGCTGGGCCACAAGGGAAGCCAGGAGAGATGGGGGGGAGGGAGGAGGGGCTTCCCCCAGAGTCTTGGAGGCAGCAGGGCCAGGCAGCAGCACAGAAGCCCTCCTGGACTGTGACGTCACAAAGAAGGCTCTGCTTGCATCATCTGGGCGGGGGGAGGAGGAGGAGGAGGAGGAGGAAGCAACGCCCTTCCTTTCCTATTGGGGGGGGGAGGGCTGCGGCCACAAAGTCTGGGAAATGATGCGGAGAGCCAGCCCTGCGAGGTAGGGCAAACGAGAAAACGGACTCCCCAGGACTGGGTGAAACTCCATTGATCGAGATCGGCTTCAGGAACAGACTCTCGAAAGCCCGACTGCCTTGGCCCATCGCTGCCTCTTCGGTCCCCAGGAAGCAGCCAGTCAGACGTTTCCATCCCCCTCCGAACCCCAGTAAATTCAGGGGAGAGGAGATGCTCACCCAGCCTCTGTCTCTCTCTCTGTGTGTGTGAGGCCTCTGGGATTCGTGTGGATGGTTCTCTTTGGGATGGAGACACCTGAGGGATCCCCTCCTCCCAGTCACAGCGGTTGGGAAGAAACCCCTCTGGGAGCAGCCCCTTCTGTGGAGACGGAGGTGCCAGCCACGAGGCTTTAAAGGTGGCGTCCAGAGGCAACGGAGCACCATTGCAGGCGGCACATCCGGGAAGCGAGGCGTCCCTGAGCTGCTGCCCTCTGGACCAGCCGCAGCTTCGGAACGGTCTTCAAGGGCGGCACCACCTAGAGTGCATTGTGCTAGTCTGGACCACAGATGAGAAAGGCATACGTGTGTGTGGCCTGGTCAGGTTGGCCAGGTGAATTGCGCCTGTGCATGCCCAGCTGAGCTGTGCTGCCCTCCCCTCAGGCGGGGAGGCTCTCTGCCTGCCTGGGCTACTGGCCCCCCTCCCCTGGCACTTCTGGTGCTGGCATTTAGCCGTGCCAAGATCAGCTGGCACAGCTGCTGTAGGGCTGCAGAAGAGGAGCAGTTGGGCACGGCGGCAGCGAGAGCTGGCTGCCCGCCCTCAGGCCACGTGGGTGGCACAAGGGACGCTGCTGCCACTCTCCTGCAGCTGCACCAGCTGGCAGCCCTCCCACTGTCTGTTGGCAGCCTTGCAGCCCCACTGCTGACGGGGCTGGCTCTGGAGACGGCTGCCCTGCTCGCCCCCTCGCTGGCCTGGGCTCCCTGGGTCCCTCTGCGGCATCGCTCCTGGGAGGCTTTGGCTGAGAAGGGCTCCCCAGCCTCCTGCCCAGATGGAGGGAGGGAAGAACCTCGACACCACCCTGGCAAGGTGGTTCCTTGCTCTGCCCCCCAGGATGGCCTCTGGCTGCTGTGGGGAAGGCTGGCCAAACGGGGAGAGCAGCAGACGGGCAGGCTGTGCGTCCTCGGGGGCCCTCAGAAAGGCCAGGCCCTCGCAGGCAGGCAGCAAGAGTGAGCTGATCTGAACTCAAGTCTTGGAAAGCAGGCAGAGGCCACCACCTGCCGGGAATGCAAGGCTGCTCACAGGCTGGCCTGAGATGGGCCGTGGGGCAGCTCCTCCTCTCCTCCAGGCTCCATGGTGCTCCACCCAGCTCTGGGGGGGGTCTTCCTCAGGCCCCGCAGAGGGGGTCCATTGCAAGCCCCTCCCCAGAGAGCATCGCTGATCAGGTGGGATCCACCCCCGGGTGCCTGCTGAGAACACCCCAAGTAAGGGGGCAGGCAGGCCTTTTCTGTGGTAGCCCCCCCCCCTTTGAAAAAATCTCTCCCTCGTTCCCTGTGGTCCCAAGCGATTCCTCGCTGCTGTGGCCCGGGCTCATGGCAGGCCCCATCCCAGGAAACCCTGCCCATCGCTCGTAAGGCGCTCTGGTGTGTATGTGTGGTGTTTTGCACACCTGTCGTTAATGGTTGTCCCTGTTTGGGCGTGGAGCTTCTCCGTCATCCATGTCACGGCTGAGCCAAAGGAGCTTCTTCAAGAGGCAACGGGACTCGGTTTTCTCTTGAAGAGGCCTCCCTGTGTAGTGGAAAAACCACAATACTTACATCAGAAGACGAGACCACGAAGGGTTGGAGAAAACAGGTTTTATCTGCGCAAAGGTTCAGAGTATTCATATGACAAATTCTGAACCCCGAATTCCTCCCAGGGTGTCATTTCTTTACAGCTTGTCAGCCACGCTTTTACCCAAGGGGTGACTTCTTATCTACCTTTAACATACTAAAAGAGAGAAGCTCATATCTTGAGACCACACACATAGGAAAAGGGAAGTTTATACAATGTGCAGAAAACCACACTCCCCTACATGCGTAGTATCTTACACCATTTGTGACTTTCGGTTGGCACTTCTTGTAAAAATGTTTCTTCATAGAATTGCACACAGGTCATCACACTCAGCCACTTTATAATATTAGTTAATGCTTTCAAAACATCACCTCTGTTAATTAAAATGTCGTTTATAGTATTTTTCCATCTCCCTTAATGGCATTTTCTACCTGCCACCCCTGAGGGGGCGGGAGGGCGGTTTTGGCGATTGGTCAGCTGAAGGTCGCCGGTCCTTAGCCTGCCTCCCTCCTCACGGGCTCTGACGCAACCGAGCAGGGATGACCCAGATATGTTTTTTCCAGAGGCCATTGGGATTGGGTTCTCCCGGAAGACGTTTCGCTTCTCCTCCAAGAAGCTTCTTCAGTTCTTGAAAAAGCACCTTTGGGACGACCATGACCTGGATGATGGAGAGTCTCCACAGACATTGAGCTATGCACAGAACTGGAGAAGCTTCTTGGATGAGAAGCGAAATGTCTTCAAGGCAAAACAAAGGAAGTCCAGTGGCCTCCGGGGGGGAAAAGCACAACCGTGCTTGGTTGTATCAGAGCCGTGAGGAGCGAGGCAGGCTAAGAACCGCCCTCCCCAAGGCGTCCCAGTTTGTGGGGCCCCAGGCAAAAGGCAAGCGGGGCGGTGGTGGAGGAACAACATCTCCAGGTGGACTCGGCCCCCAAGCTTCTAGCCCCCGAGAGGTAGATGTGTGGTCAGCTCATCTGTTGTGTAGCAAAACAGCACAAAGCACAACCTGCTCTTCTGTTTGGGCCCTGCTTGTCCCCGCTAGAATTGGTGGCCTGTGGCAAGGAAGCAGCCTCAGCTTCATGGAGCAGCTGGTTGCATCTCTCGGGCAACCCGACGCCTAGCCTGGGCCAGCTCCTTTACAGTCCTGTCCCTCCCGACGCCTAGCCTGGGCCAGCTCCTTTACAGCCCTGGTCGGACCCCGGCCTGGCCTGGCGCAGGAGAGGGTCTGTTCTCCGTGTGCCTTTAACTGAAGCCCTGGGGCAAGACGGCCTTTTGAGCTGCGTTGGGCCTCCGCCCTTTCTGAAGGCTCCTGGATTCTCATCGGGCCTCTGCGTTGGGTGGGTGTGGAGGGTGCCCAGAGGGGTTGTGCCCACCCACCCTCCCCACTTTGTGGTCCTTCCTCCTCTCCTTCCCCAAGGACCCCCAACAAACCAGGCGACAGGAACACCAGCGCTGGCTAAATCTTGATCGAGGTCTGCTCCTCCACATAATAACAATAACAACTTTATTGTCACTTTGAATGTTCACCAATCGGCATACACCAAAATGAAATTTCATTGCATACATCTCTGGTGAAATGGCCGCCTTCCCCGCCCCTCCCCCTCCCCAGCCAGGTCGAGGGTCTCATCTGGAGCTGCAGGTGGGTTGGCTGAGAGCGCCCAAGGACAGAGGCCCACCTGGCAGGTGCCCGATCCCATGCCAGCAGGGAGGGCTGCAGCACCTGGGAGGCGAAAGAGGCCTCCCTGGAGGCAAAGGGTGAATAGTGCCCAGCCCAAGGAACAGGCAGACAGGACCACCCCAGCACAGCAGAGGCTGTGGGGATATCCTGGTTCTCTGCTGCTCCTACAGAACTGGGCCTGAGCAGATGGACCTGGGCAGGATCAGGCAGCCAGCAGTTTCTTCCTCTTGGGGCACCCCAGAGTTTCCACGCAAATGGCTGACTGAGATCTGGTGGGAGCCGCTTCCCCACATCTCGAGATTGCTTGGGCAGAGAGCACCAGAGGAAGGAGCCTCACCCCCCCTCTTTTTGGATCACCCCCCCCCCAAGTAATCATGCTTAAGGGCCTCATGGTGGTCAGAGAGCCCAGGGCAGGAGCCCTTCATTGCAGCATCCCTGGCAGACGGCTGCCTCCACTGCCGGAGGGCTGCCCTCAAAGAGCCAGAGGTTGAGGTTGTGGGGTAAGACCCCTCCCTTCTGGAGCTGAGCACCCCCCCACACATGGCACAGCAGACATTCAAAAGCACCCAGATGCTCCCTTCCGGCCTCGGCCACCAGGCCAGAGTCAGCAATTGAACTCACACGAGACCACAGATTAGTCGTGTAAAAGGCCTGGGTGATGTGTGTGATCCTGCACATTGTGTGAACAAGGCCATCATCTTAACCCACAAGGATGGTTCTTTTGTGCATAGCAGGTTGTGTGCATGCAGGCACTGTACGGTGTGCTAGCTTTATGCTCGGCCTAGGTGCAGAAAGCCAGACAGACCCTGGTTGCCTTTTACTGGCACAGCTGAGGGTCACCAGCCCCCTTTCCTGGGAGAGGCTCTCAGCTGCTGAGAGGAACACAATCCCCACATAGCACAGAGCATGTGATGCCTGACACCACTGTGGCACTTCTGCCCCCCCTTCTTGGATGGACCCCCCTTTCCAAAGCTGGATGGGTCTTGGGGTGGGCACCGGAGGTCCTAAAGAGGACCCTCCTCAGCATTCCTAGCCAGGAGTGCCAAAGCACTGCGCCGAGGACCGCACCTCTCACTGACCAGCCACACCGGCCTGGCACTGGTGCCTGTGGAGACTCGCCCCCTTCCCCACATCAAAGGGGAGTTTCCTGCTTATAGTGATAGCCGCAAGTCGGGCCCTCAAACTGCAGCTTGATGGCTGCCTTACGGTGCAGGTGGGGGGCCAGCGTGTCAATGGAGATCTGGGCCCCCCTGGAGTCTTTGCTATACTTGTCCAGAGCTGGAGAGGGCGGTAGCGCCAAAGGCCCTGGCCGGGGCCGATGGGGTGGGGAGTATCGCTGCATCTGCTGTGCCCCAGAGAGTGGGTCCAGGGGAATTATTTGGAGGGCAGCATGGGAGTGAAAAGTGGACGTTGTGGCTGAAGAGCCAGGGGAGGCCTGCGACTCACCAGTGGAACCCAGCCAGGCCGCAGGAGACTCGCCTCGCATGCCTTGGGGGACGGGGCTGCTGGCCGAGCTGCTGGAAGAGCCTAGCTGGGGGGAGTCTGGTCCCGGCCAGGCCCCATAACCTTCCATCAGCTTTAGCACGGCCTGGTGGCCCCGCTTGGCTGCCAGCCACCTGGGGGTGCGGCCTGACTTGTCCTGGACATCGGGGCTGGCCCCGTGCTCCAGCAAAACCTCCACCACATCAGCCCACCCTTCCTGCGTGGCCACCCCCAGAGCAGTGGCCCCTTGGCTGCAACTATGGTTGGGCTGTGCCCCCCTCCCTAGCAACAAGTGTGCAATGCTCCCGTGGCCCTGCCAGGCAGCCAGATGCAAGGCCGAGCGGCATTCCTTGTCGAGGGCATCCACGTCTGCCCCGTAGTTCAGCAGCAGCTGGGTGGCCTCCCCCTGCCCCTGCCAGCAGGTGACGTGCAATGCTGTGCGGCCCTGGGCATCCCGCCCCTCCAGCCTGGCCCCGTGTTCCAGTAACAATTCGGCCATCTCCACACAGCCCTCCAGCATCAGAAGGTACAGCATGGGACGACCCTCGGAGTCAGACAAGTTCACCTCTGCCCCCTTGCGCAGAAGCAGCTCGGCAGTGCTGTGGTGTCCGGCCAGCATAGCCAGAGACAAGGCCGAGAGCCCATCGTAGCCCTGGTGGTCGATGGGGGAGTAGTACTCGAGCAGGAGCTGCACAGCATCCGTGTGTCCTTCCTGGGCTGCCACCATCAGTGGGACGCGGCCGTCCTGGTTCGGCTTGCCTACGTGGGCTCCAGCCTCCAAAAGAGCTGCACATATCCTGTGATGGCCCTGCCAGGCCGCCAAGTGCAATGGGGTCCAGCCCAGCCCATCTTGGTGGTTTTCATCCAAGCCCCGCTTTAGCAGAGCCTGGACAACGGCTTCGCTGCCCTGTCCAGCTGCAACACCCAGAGCAGTCCGGCCTTCACTGTCTAGGACATCTATGGCTGCCCCCCAAAGTAGCAAAGTCTCTACCACTGCCCGATGGCCCATGGAGGAAGCAGCCAAGAGTGGAGTGCAGCCTCTGGAATCGGCCTGGTCCACTTCGGCCCCTGCTTCCAGCAAGAGCTCCACGACATCCACGTGGCCTTCATAGGCAGCTACCAGCAAGGGAGTCACGTTGTCCCAGTCGGCATGTCCCGGAGAAGCACCATGATCTAAGAGAAGCTCTACGACCTTGGCACAGCCACGGCTCACTGGAATGCACAAAGCGGCCACCGAGAGGGCAGTCCGCCCATCCATGTCGGCGTGGTCAACACGAGCCCCATGGTTCAGCAGCAGAGCCACAATCACTCCGTGACCCATGTAGGCAGCAGCAATGAGTGGCGTCCGCCCCTCAGAATCAGCCCGGTTGACATCTGCTCCGTGCTCCAACAGAGTGGCCACAATGTCCTCATGGCCACCCCAGGCAGCAGCCCTCAGTGCTGTTCTCCCCTCGGTATCAGCGCAATCCACAGTGGCCCCAGCTTGCAGCAGAACACCAATGGCTTCGCTGTGACCGCCCCAGGCAGCCGCACGTAGAGCTGTCCAACCTTTGTGATCCGCACAATCGACCTTTGTGCCGTGGGCCAGCAGGCAAAGCAGGGCCTTTGTGTGTCCTTGGCGAGCAGCCAAGTTCATGGGGGTCTGTCCAAGGTGATCTGGGGTCTCTGGCTGTGCACCATGTGTCAAGAGCAGCTCCACCACTTCATGGTTGCCGCTGTGGGCGGCACTAGCAAGCCAAGTGCGCCCGTCCACGTCCCGCTGGTTAACACTGGTGCCGTTTTCTAGTAGCAATCGCACAGAATCCTCCCGTTCCAAGGCTTGGTGCAGGGATGGGGCCTGCCCTCGCTCCCCCAGGCGAGCGCCCGCCAGCACCAGCAGCTCCAGCACCGCTGGCTCCAAGGGCACCAGCAGCTCTGGCCCCAAGCAGCACTCCACAGGCACCCGGCACCACACTAGCCACATCGCCAGCTGCCAGGCCTCAAGGCACAGCTTGGCAGCCAGCAAGTGCTGGGCCAGTTCGATCACCTCCTCCGGGCTTAATTCCAGTGCCCGGCAGGAGGCACTCACGGCAAGCAGGGCATGCCCTCGGGCCGGGCAGCAGTGGTACTTCCACGTACAAAGCTTGATGTCACAAAGCCACTCGGCAAAGCTGACGTGGAAGAACATGCAGGTGCCCCCAGGGCCCTCTTGAAGGAGCCCTGCCAAGGTTGCCAGATGGACCTGAAAGCTCTCCCAGGACAGTGGACGGCACGTCCAGAGGGCAGCGTGAAGCTCACGAGGCGTCAGCAGGCGAGGGGCTGCCAGCAAGGCCTCCAGCAGAGGGCGGATCAGGGCAAACCGTTTGTGTGGGAAGAGGCGCTGGCAGAGCCACAGGTACAGTCCAGAGAGCGTCCCTGGGATGTGACGGACCTCTTGCGGAGTGACCAACTCTTCCGCCACTCTGTCTAATACCTGTTCCAAGTACAGCAGGCAGCCGTTGCTCTTCAGGTGCAGCTGGGTCAGGGCTGCGGTCGTATCCTGGCTGAAGCGCCGCCGGAGCGCCTCCTCCCGGTCCAGCCGGGCGAGGATGTAGTGTTGCACATCGCAGATGATGGGTTCCCTCTGAAGGTCATCGAGGCACAGTTGTCGGAATCCTGCAGCGGAAGAGGCCGGATGAGACAATGGCCTGCCCCGCCCTGGCTCCCTCTCAAGGGGGCTGAGGGCCAAGGGCCCCCGCAAGCAAAGAGCAGCCAGCATCCACGGGCCAGCTCTCCCACCCATTTGGCCCCTATACTCAAGGGAGAGGCTGCCCCCATGTCGCCAGTAGCTGGTTTGCAAAAGGCACCGGGGTTAGTTTGACAGGTGTCACATCTGGGCAGAGAGGTCTCTTCTGCTTGCTCTTCAGTCCCCCCCCCCCAAGGACTGAAGAGTCAAGGACCCCTCCATGGAAAGCTCTACCCATAAGGGGGCCCAGGACAGCTGCAGCATCTCTGTGGCACGAGCCGCCCCCTCCCCCACCCCAAGGGCCTGCTCACCAGGGAAGAGGCGCAGGACCCCCTGGCTCTGGGAGCGGGCACTGCAGACCAGGAGCAGCCAGGGGGGCAGCAGCCGCAGGTGGCTCCCCAGGAGTCGGGCAATGGACTTGCTGGGCCCTGGAATGGGGCCTCTTTCTTCCTCCTCCTCCTCCTGGCGATCTCTCTTTCCTGCATCCAAGGCATCCACCACGATCAGCAGAGGCTTTTGGGGGGGTGGCAGGTCCAGCAGGGGCAGCAGCACTGCTCTGGGGGGAGGGAAGAGGGAGAGCTGAGGGGGGGCAAGGGAGCCCCCTGCAGCTGGAGCCTATAGGCCTAGGCCAGGCACTGCTTGCGCCCAGCCCCAGGACCTCTTATGGGTGCAGTTTAGTTTATATTTAGTTTATAAATTGAAAACAATCTTTGATGAAAGGAAACAGCGTTTGGTCAGAGTCCAGAATGATAGGAAGCTTAAAACCAGAGGGCCGCAGGGACTGAGTCTGCCTCTTCCAGTGCCCCCCCCCCCGGCTTTGGCCACTGGCCCAGGTCCCCTTTGGCCACATGTGGACCGAGCGCATGGCAGAGGCAGGGAAAGCGCATCCAGCCTAGGAATGCGGGTGGAAACGACACAGGAAATGCGCCTGCATCCTCTCTGCTCCTCCAGGAAACCCAGCACCAGCGTTGGCCAGGCTGGCAATGCAACCCCCCCCCCCCCCCGAAGCTTTAAGAGCCAAGTTGCCCTGCAACTTGGTGGTGCTTCTGTTCCTGGGCATGAGAAGAGCCCGGGCTGACCTTCTTGGGTCAGGACAAACCCCATTCCCTGACGCTGTCCCCCCCCCCCCAGCTAGCTATCCCCACGACTTCCAGACTGCACCTGGGGCAACGGAGGAAGCGGCTGGGATCCCAGGCAGCCGAACAATCTGGATGGCCGGATGTGCTCTACAAAGCCCCCCATGAGATCAAAGCGGGGGGGAGGGGCACCCTGCCTCGGTCCCAATGTGCCTGGAAGGCCAGCCGGAGCCTGGCGGGGAAGGAGGGGCTGCGCCCGGGCCTCGCTTCCTCGGGCATCTCCTCTCTCCGGAAGGGCAGCCCGCCAAGCGCGGCTCCCGGCCAGCCCAGGGCCTCCGAGACCGTCCTGGGGCAGGGGAGCCGGGGGCCGCTTACCTGCGGAAGACCTCGTCCGGATCCTTGCACGCGGCGGCTTCCAGCGGCCGGGGGGCGCCGCCCCGACGAAGGCGCTCGCGGTAGCCGGGCAGCAGCGGGCAGCGCTCGAGCTGCCGCACCAGCCGCAGCAGGAACCCGCGCGGGGTGCAGGTGGCGGCGGCGTCGTGCGCTTGGCAGAAGTGCCACGCCAGGGCAGAGTCGCCCAGCGCCACCCGCAGGCCCGGCCCGGAGGTGGGCCACAGCGCCTCGGTGCACAGAGCCGTCTTGCCGCTGCCGGCGCCGCCCGTGACCAGCACCCCGCCGCCCCCCTCCAGGCTCAGCGCCAGCCGGCCCAGCGCCCACTCGCGCCCGTGGAAGGGCTTGCCCCGCAGGCGGCTCCCGGCGGGCTCCATGCGGGGCGAGCCTCACCGCCCGGGTTCCCCCTGCGCCGATCCGCGGCCCCCGGGCGCACGTGCCTCCGCCGACCCGGCGCGGCTCAGGGAGGCGGCCGGGTGGGGCCCGCGCAATCGGCGCGCCTGGCAGCGGATGCTGATTCACCCGCCCAGCCCCCGAGCCGGGCCGGCCTCCCGGCGGGCCAGTAACCCCCTCCTGCCCGAGGCCGCGCGATCCTCGCCCTGCAGGAGGCCCGGGGGCGGCGGCCCCCCCTCCCCGGCAGCGACCGGGAGCCCGGCTTGCTCTCGGGCGGCGGCGGCGGCGGCGGCGGACCCCGCATGGAGCCCTGCAGGGCCGGGCGAGTCAGCCGGGCGCTGCTGGCCTCTCACGAGTCCCGGGCGCCCCGCCCCGCCCCGCCCCTCGCCGGCCGCGTCTCCCCCCGGCCGGCTCCACGTGGCGGCGCCCGGGAAGCCGGCGGGCGAGCCAGAGGAGCGCGGGCATCCGCCGCGGCTGCTCGGGGAACGCGGCGGAGGAGCCCCGCGGCCGGCCAGGTGCGGGCCCCGCTCTGAGCGTCGCCGGCTGGGCGAGGGGCGGCGCGCGCGTCGGGGAGACCGGCATCCGGAGTCGGCGCGGGGGAGGGCGAGTCCCGGCGCTGAGGCGGCCTGCGGGAGAGCGGCTCACCTGCGCGGCGGCTCGGCGTCCCCGGCTCAGGCCGGCCGGAGATTGGGGCGCCACACGAGCCCCGTCCGCGGCTTCCCCCGTGGCGTCGCTCCGGACTGCCGGTCGGCGAAGGAGGAGCGCCGGTTCTTGCGAGTCCGACCGGAGGGTCCGCGAGGGAATTGGGAGCCGAGCGGGCGGCTGGCGAGGACTGACCGCGGCAGGACTTCACCTCCCTACTCCGGGAGTCTCCCGGGCTCCTGGGCATTCGCTAGGAAAGAAGCCCGCGTGCTCCTGGGTGCGGGTGTGTTTGTGGGCACGCATTGCCTCTTCGCTCCCTTGTGGGTCAGTAGAACAGTGTTTCTCAACCTTGACCATTTTAAGGCATGTGGACTTCAACTCCCAGAATTCCACAGCCAGCATTGCTGGCTGTGGAATTCTGGGAGTTGAAGTCCACATGCCTTAAAATGGTCAAGGTTGAGAAACACTGCAGTAGAGCAAGCCTAAAGAAGCGGAGCCCCTATGTTGAATCTCTCCCATGTGGAACAGAGCTGTCTATCCCCCCCCCATATCTATCTCCCCCTCTTTTATAGGAACTGGGGGAGGGTTGGGTCCCATTCTTGAGTTAGTACCTTATGAAACGGGGCTGGAGAACTACGGCCTCTTTATGACCTGCGGACTTCAACTCCCAGAATTCCTGAGCCATCAGGGGGGAACTATATGGCCCCTTCATGACTCGTGGACTTCAACTCCCAGAATTCCTGGGCAGCCATGCTAGCTCAGGAATTCTGGGAGTTGAAGTCCCCACGTCACTAAGGAGCCATAGTTCCCCACCCCTATTATAAAGGGTTATTGAACCCTCTCGTAGCATTTTTTACTTCTTAATCAGCCGCTTGTCGCTTTCATACATGTATTCATTGTTCCTGAACTTGCAAACCACAATTTCCCTCTTTCCTGTATCTAAGTTCCATTTTCTGCCTGCGTCCGCCTTGTCCTGTGACAGAATGAGGTGAACATGTCGCAAGCCAAATTCAGCTTTGGAAACCTGGATAGAGCAGGCTTAACTCTTCGGGGTGGCCCGGCCTCGGCCCTCGGGCTCCGTGGGGGCTTCCCTGTGCAGAGAAGGGGCTGTCTGCCCTCTTCCGCCCATGAGGCTGGGCTCCCCGTGCGTCTCCGGAGCTCCCGCTTCAGAGAAGGGCCGGGAGGAGGAGGGTCCTCAGTGGTCTCTGGGTCACTGACCTGCCCCTCCCCAGCCTTCCCCCCCCCCAGTGTTTTTGCAGTGGTTGGAGAGAGTTTCTAAGAACAGGCAGTCCTCGACTTACGACCACAACTGAGTCCTAAATGAATTTTGCCCCTTTTTACGACCTTTCCTGCCACGGACATTAAGTGAATCACTGCAGTTGTTAAGTTAGCAACACGGTTGTTAAGTGAATCTGGCTTCCCCCATTGGCTTTGCTTGTCAGAAGGTCTCAAAAGGGGATCACGTGATACCCCCTCCCCGGGACGCTGCGACCGTCATAAATATGAGTCAGTTGTTAAGCATCCAAATTTTGTTCCTGTGACCCTGGGGAGGCTGCAACGGCAGTGAGTGTGAGAACCGGTCACGAGTCACTTTTTTCAGCGCTGTTCTGACTTCAAATGATCACTAATGATCTGCTGTAACTTGAGGGCTAGCTGTAAATACCGGCCAGCTGAGTTTGTATCAAAATCCACGGACATTTTAGGAGAGACGTGTTTATTATGCTCGGAAGCCTACACGGCTGGGAGAAGAGACGGACGGCTGCGTCTAGAAGTAGGCGATGGGGTCATCCTTGGTCTTGTCCACCTGGAAGCCGGAGAGCTCAACCTGTCCGCCATAGACTGGCAGAGCCTCGAAGATCCTCAGGTGGATGTAGTCTTTCTCTTCGTCGCCGCATTGCATCTGTGAGGGGGGAACAGCGGGACCTGGGCGTCAGGCATCGGGGTCCAGCAGCCACATCCCCAACGGGGCGTCTACGGCTACGTCTTGTGAGGGTTCACAAACGAATTCTGGCTCCTACTGAGCAGCCAGAGGTCAGGGCATCTCCTGCTGCCAGATGCCCCCTAAGGGGAAAGACCCCTCCCATCCTTTCTAATGCTGGCTGAAGATCTCACTGAAAAGGCCTTTCCTAGCCCAGCTGGTAGAGTTGGGTCAGGGGGCTGGCACTTGCCCATTTGGCTAAAACCCAAACCCTCCTCCTCCTCCTCCTCCTCCTCCTTGCACCTCTGCAGGTGTTCCTTCCAAGCCAGAGGCTTTTGCAAATGGCGGGAGGGGCTGCTGGGAGGAGAGGATGGCCGCCTTGGAGGAAGGTCGACCCCCCCCCCCAGGGTCTGGGAGGCCCTTCAGGAGAGGCCGGAAGAGCCCAAGGCTGCGACCATCTGAGTGGTTGAGGTGGCACTGAACCCCCAAGTGACCCAGTGGGGCGGGGTGGCCGAATGGGTCCTGCCTCAGAATTTAGGGAAGAGAAGCAGAAATTAAAGCTAAGCAGGGAAGGCAGGGGCCACGTCAACCACTGGTGCGGTGAAGCATCTCTTGACCGCAGCCGTTGTGAAGGAGGGAGAGAGAATCAGATGCCAAAAAACCTCCTGGATGGTCCTTAAGAGGCTGGATTCCCCCCCCCTGCTTGGGACCGGTGTGTATGTGTGTGTGTGTGTGTGTGTGTGTATCCAGGGGTTCAGCCACTGACCTTGACAAAGTAGTTCATCCCAGCCACCACCTGCTGACGGTACAAAATGGCCTTGTATTTGGCAAACGTCTGGTTCGTCGCCTCCTCCAGCTTGGATTTCACCTGGGGGCAGAAGCGACACGGCCAGGGCAATGAGGCTGCAAGAGGGCACCTCTGGGAGATGCCAGGGGGGCCCTCGCCACCTCACGGCTCCTGCTGGCCTGGGCAGACGACGGGGGCTTGAGGGGCGCATGCTTTGGGGGCTCCCTGGACAGGCCTGGGGGAGCTCAGGAAAGGGGCATCTCTTGGCAAAGCAGGGAAGGGAGCTGGGTGGGGGTCTTTCGGAGGGGTGGGGGGGATGACCTACCTGGTCAGCAAAGCCTTGAATTTCAGGGGTGGCTGGTTTCGGAGGCGAAAGTCCCCCAGGATTCATGGTGCTCAAGTTCTGGGGAGAAGCAGCTGGCAGACGGGGTGGGTGTCCGACTGAGGAGTCTCTGGGAGCAGCTCAGATCTTGGTCTTTTATGGCCAGTCCAGGGAGCTGCCTCTTGTGATTGTTGTGCTGCCGCTGTCACGTGAGGCCATCCATGCATCTGGCCAGGGCAGATTTATCCGGGGCCCTGCCCTCCCGGTGACGGAAGGAGGAGAACCAGCCCGAGCCTGTCGGGGCCCTTTCGCAAGAGGGACAGGGTGGGGCCGGGCGCCGGCATGTGAGTCAGGGCCTGCCCGGAGCCAGAGCAGTGGCTGAGAGGAAAGCAGCCAATCTCTGGTGGGGTTGGGCTCCTGGGACCCCACCTGGCTTCTGCTCCACCTGCCGTGGGAGGGGGGGGACCCAGGCCAAACCCTCCCTCCCTCCCTCTAACCTGGCTCATTCTCAAGCTTCTCCTGCATCACTCCCCCTCCCCCCCCACCCCCCATTGCAGCTGGCAAAGGCCTTGGCTGGCCCCAGCTTTACCCAGGCATCCTGCTCCTTCTCCTGCTGGGAGGCCTTGAAGAAGTCAGGGTTGACCTCTTTGTAGGCTGGGATCTGGGAGCCCACTCCCTGCTGCAAACACCCAACTTCCTCCCCTGACCACCTCAGCTAGGCCTCTGGAGGAATCCCCCACCCAGTTCCTCCCTGGTGATGGCTGCCAAAAGGACGGACCCAAACGGTGGCCACCAAACTCCCAAGGGGCCTATGTGGCTCTCTTGTATGCCAGGTGGGCTTCCTGAGCCCCGGGGCTCCCTGAGATGGGTGGTTTCCTTGCAGACCTTTCATGACCCAACTAGGGAACACCATCAGTGCTGGAAGGGAGGGGGGCTTGCAGAGTGGAGGAGAAGGATAAAGTGGGGAGGAGGAGGAGGAGAAGGAGGAGGAGGAGGTGGTCCTTGGTGCTCTCTGAGCTTTGTTGTTTTCTTGCAGACATTTCGTGAACCATCTAGGGCAGTGTTTCTCAACCTTGGCAATTTGAAGAGGTATGGACTTCAACTCCCAGAATTCCCCAGCCAGCACAGCTGGCTGGGGAATTCTGGGAGTTTAAGTCCATACCTCTTCAAGTTGCCAAGGTTGAGAAACACTGATCTAGGGAACACCATCAGCGCTAGAAGGGAGTGGGGTTTGCTGTCATTTGATACACAGGTGGCTTGCCCTATCAGCGTTGCTGGGAATAGTCTCGGTGGTTCCTTGAATAGGCTGCTGTTTATTGTTTGCTTGTTTGTCTGAGTTGGCAGTTCCTTGATTGGGGTATTGTTTGCTTATTGATTGTTGGTCTAATATTAATCTTGGTATTAAAAAGACTTGGTGGTCTTTTGTTTCCTTTTTTGGCTTTTTTGTCTCTTTTGAATGGCGTGTAGATGTCGTATATCTCCATGTGCCTGTTGATGGTTGATTTGTTTGAGTGCCGGGCTTGGAGGAATTCTCTAGCCTTTCTG